GATATGATGATAAATTATTGAAAGGGGAAAGGCACGAAGATATTAAATGTGCATTCTTTGGAAGGTGAATATCCGGTTTTCACTCTGTTAAATGTCTTGCCCCTCTAAGAGACGCTGGATTTTAATATAATTATTGATTGTCCCACTGCAGGTCCTGAGCTCGTTATGAATTGCAATTACGGATCCAAATCACTAGGCATGATAAGCGTGTCCCTCAAAAGGCGACATCATTACTGACGAGTTCATGAGCTGGATGCTAGCTTCTGGTAAAGACATGGCACCTGCATCCTGAATATAATTCAGACGTAATTGTTGGCCTTGTCGCCGTATGCTAAAACTCTCATCCTAAAATAACTCAAAGTTTCGCTGGGTGTCCATGTGATTATAGTTTTTCCTTCTGGCTAGTATGAGGCACGGCCATTGGTCAGATTGTTGTCACGTGATGATATCGGTAAGTCTTTAGTGGCACACTATGCCATCATTACAGCGATGACAGACGTCGATGTAACTGTAAGATATCAAAAGAAAGAAGATCAGACTGACATTAAAATACGAGATCCAAAAAGGACCTCTAAATAAAACAGTCTTTCAATATAGGGAATGAGCTTCGTTACATGAAGGTTTCAATAACTAAACGTAAGTTACTTCGCTTCCGTAAGCAGTATGATAGTGAATGAGAAATACTGTATGGATACTAAAGCTACCTTATTCGCTCATGGCAAAAGAGTTTCGATGGATAATTGAACACAATTGAAACGCAATTAATTTTCCAATTCGACCATAAGCTTTTTCATGTGAACATCATAACAACAATCTCAAAATTTCAGACATGCTGCTTGTACCATAATGGGGGAGTATTCAAAATAAGTTTCAAAAGATATGTTACCCCTTTTTGTGTTAATATTTCGTCCTGAATTAATGATTTACGGCTTTTGATTGTACCCTTCTAAAGTTTTATCATAATCCCCGTAATGTATAATGAAAGCTTATCATAATCTACTAAATGAATACTGAAAGTTTTACATACTCTACTAAATTTTCACTGAAAGTTTATCATAATCTACTAAATGTATATTAAAGTTTTATCATAATATTGAGGTATATTTTTAAACAAATTAATTCATTGATTGGTGGATTGCTTATATTCATATTTCATGCACAACATAAAAAAGCATATTTAATTTTACAAAACATTAACTTGTCTTTAAGTAATATGGAAAAAATATTCCTGAATCATTGTAATTAAACACGAAAGAATGTCCTATAAATCCTTAAATGAGGAAATGAAAAGTGAATCTACTTTAAAGCTTATTGAATTAATTTGCTTTTTTTTGGTTGGAATTTGAATAAAAGAAACCATCAAATCAATCAATCAAATTATTAAAAAGTGACGTAAGATAGATTAATTCAGTGAACCGACATGCAACAAGCCTAGCTTTTAAGTAGGTTCACTTTTCATTTTCGTATTAATGATTTACAAAACATCCTTTCATGTTATTGATGATTATGGATCATGATTACATGTGTCTAAATGTCCCGCAAGCATGTCAGGCGGGGGGGGGGGGGATGAGATTCAGTAATTTAGTCCGATAGTCTTCCTCGAATGTACACTGCGTTTATATATACATGTATGTATAATAGTATCCTCCTCCGTGTCAAGTTGGAAAATTACTTGGGATTCTGGTCTAAAACCCAACTGCCATTCGTTATTCGTGACTTCCCATGATCATAATCTGATGATAGAATAAACGCCGAAAAAAACACTTTACCTACAATATTGTATCATTAATTATATCCACAGATGGGCTGTGTATATGATTAACAGAATCGTGTCAATCAGTAATCATACATATTCGGTTGGAGATGCTATATCCATTATTTCATAGGAAAGGTTACTTCGTACTGTTTGATGTCAAGCTTCTCTATCCATCTACTCATGCTAACATAACTAAGAAAAAATAGCTTTAAAACGTTATTATGAAATGGAAAAATATATATATATACCAAACAAAACTCAGAGAGAATAAATTGAAAAAGAAATGGTTGCACTTTAGAAAATATTTTGAGAGTGTTGGAAATGTGCTAACATAAACATAACTTTTTTTTTATGTTTGGTATTTTTTTAATTATATATTTAAAGTACTAATTTTGTCATAAATGTTTGTTTTTATCTGCCCTTTTCGGCCGTGGTGATTATTATCTGTGTTAAGCCATTATGTATGGACATTATTTCTTTAATTATTTGTATATAATATATGGATACACTGTATATGATGGAATTTGTTTTGAAAATAAAGAACCCTGTGGAAGGGTAAAAAAATAACTAAGAAAACCTCATACAATAGTCTGGCTCGTAAGAATCGAAACACATTTATCACAGGACATGAACATGACCACAATGTCTTCACACTTGAAAATAACCTCTATTTCAGCTACTTTAGAAATTAATCTTTTTTATTTTGCGTTTACAAAATTCATCTTTTTGTTCATAAAACAGTTTCTCTTCTATGTTTGCATGTTTCATTTGTTTGTCAAAGCCTCTGGGTTATTAAGTAATAATAAGTCTTAGGGACAGGCACTATAAAAACATCGCTATTTGTCATACCCCTCCATTTGGAAAATTTTGAAAACAAATCAAATCAATTAAAAATCAAACGAAATCATTTGAAATCAAATTAAATCATTAAATCAAACTACAAGGGATTGATAAATGATTGATATATAGATGAGCATCAGTTATGGACATGCTCAGTAGGGGCAATACACTGACTTCGAGGTAGATTACAAATTCAAAATAAACATCAAGAATCTCTTGGAGTATCTGAGGGAATGAACTTTCTGAGGGAAAGAGTTGGTGTTGATCATTCGCGCTCTATTATAATGTAATACAAGGCCAATCAAATTGACTGGCAAAACCAGCACTCTCGAGCGCGCACCTGTGTGTGTGTAGGGGGGGGGGGGTACACATTCTCCGACAACCAAAACAAAGGCGATTATGGGTTCTCCGATCCTACGAAACCGACCGAAGTGCATTTGAGACTCGCTATTTTGCTCTTTTCCAACGCAAAATGAGACGACATTGTGCTGAATTACTATTTTTTACAGAGAAAGTGTCATTTTTTTGTTAATATTATACTTTTTGAAAGGTTACCCAAGGTACTCCCGGGCATCCCAATGCTGGAAAGAAACGCACTTTTGAGAAAAATGTCACTTTTTCATGCAAAACTGCTCAGTCAATGCACGTCAGATTGAGCGGATGATACAACGTTTCCATTATGATTTAAGACGCTCTTTAAGCACGTCTCTCTCCCTCTCTCTCTCTCCCTCTCTCCTCTTTTAAAATTGTCTCCGTTCGTCTATCTCTCCACCTTGCTCTTTCTTACACTTCTCTCTCTCTCTCTCTCTCTCTCTCTCTCTTTCTCTCTTTCTTTGCCTCACTCTCCATCTTTTATGCTTACCCCTCTCAAGAAGTTACTTGCCCCTCTCTTCTTTCTTTTCTCCTTCTTTTCATGCCGCGCAATAAATCATCGCTCATCTTTTCCCTTCTCACACTCTTCACGCACGTTTTCATTTCCCTCTGTGTCGCTGATTTATTGATGTCATGGTACAATTACAAACAATTATTTTAGTTAAATCCGCTGAACCGCAGGCATTGATCAATACAACGGCGAGGACACGAGAGGCGGTTTATATCTATGTTTTTTCTATAAATTCAAGTGTTGCACAATATCAGTGGCTCACGAGGTTGAGAATGTTTTTTTTTTTACTTTATTTGTAAATGCCCATTTGAACGGAAGAGAGTTTTTCTATGTATATTACGAACTGATGATAAAGTATAAATGTTTATATATAGTTAAGGCCTACGTGTGCGTCTTTAAAAGAAATGGGTCAGAATTTTTCCATAAATCATTCCATTATATGACGGTTTTAACTGGTTCAAGTCCAAATTCTATTTCGTTCAGTGTTACGTTTCATTTTTTCAGCATTTTCGGAGTATGCAGTAAATTAGATCTCATTGTTTAAGCAGGGCTCCCACTTAGCCGAGTTGGAGCCTCGAGTTGTGGCGAGCTGGCGCGTGCTTATGGCAAGCCGTTTTCTTCATTAAAACATATCAAGAATTCAATTCTTGATATCACGAAATCGAATTCTTGATATCACGAATTCAATTCTTGATATCACGAAATCGAATTCTTGATATCACGAATTCAATTCTTGATATCAAGAAGTACCATCGCTTTACAACATAAAATTATTTCTTGATATCAAGAATTGAATTCTTGATATCAATAAATATGTGTCAATGATAAAACGGCTTGCCATAAGCTCGCGCCAGCTCACCGCAACTCGGCTAAGTGGGAGCCGAGTTGAATTAGCGAGTTATGGCGAGTTGTGGCGAGTTGCTACGAGTATATTACGAGTGTTAAAGGGATCCGGTAACTTTGTCTCAGATTCTGAAATAAAATTCTGGATTTAGCTCATGATGTAATTATAATTATAAACCTTTAGGTCAGTCAGGAACCCCATGACTTTTACAAGCCGATCGCCTGTCTGATTATCAACATATTTATGATTGAAATTACAAATTTGAAAACCGTTCGCCTGACGGTTTTCATAACACTACAGTCTATTGGGAAAAACGAGTATGGTAAAACTGGTCACTCAAAGATTTTTACTTTTTTGAGGCACTTCTTGATCATTTTGAAACGCAATTTTTTAGGGCTTCAATATTACACCATAATTATCACAGACACTGATAACACGTAGGGCCGTGTATCTCAGATTTAACATTGTTAAACGATCCCTTTATGCAAGTTCACCTCGAGCTACAACGAATCAGCGACAATTTTGAACAAGTTCTAAATTTTCACTGATTCGTTGTTATTCGAGGTGAGCTCCCTTACACTCGTAATATACTCGTATTACTCGTAACAAGCTCGCGCTGCACTCTTCATAAGGTGGCTAGTTGCTACGAGTTATGAATAGTGCAGCGCGAGCTTGTT